CAAATTATAGAGCAAAATGATTTATATCATTTGCAGGTAATATTTTGCTGAAGATCATTCAACCATGGTTGAAGCAGTACATTGACTTGAGCTACCAAAAATTCAGGCTGGATTCAGAAGAGGATTTCAAAAAAGGGATAGCATGGTTGCTATGAGATAGCTCTTAGTAGAGGCAGTTTTGTGAACAGAACCAGGGAGCACTGCATGCTTTAAAATCAAGGACGGTGTGTGTCAAGGTTGTGTCTTCTTACCCTACTTATTCAATCGTTGTGCTGAGCAAATCAGTGGAGAAGCTGTACTATATGAAGAATAATCCATCCGGATTAGAAGAGGGCTAATTAATGTCCTCCAATATGTAGATGACATGACCTTGCTTGCTGAAATTGAGAAAGACCTGAAGCACTTGCTGATAAAGGTCAAGGATTTCAGCCCTTAGTGTGAAGTAAGCCCAAATCCTCACAACTTTCCCAGTAGGTGACATGATAAACAGAGAAAAGGTTGAAGTTGTCAAACATTTCATCATGCTTGGATCCATGATCAATGCTCATAGAAGCAGCAAGCAAGAGATCAAATTCATTGGATTGGATAAATCTAATCTCCTTGACCTCTTAAAACTGTTGAAAAGCAAGAATGTTCTCTGAGGAATGAAGTGCATCTGATAATGATATTTTCAATTGCCTCACATGCAAGTGATAGTTGGACATTGAATCAGAAAGACTGAAGAAGAATGGATGCATTTGAATCATGATGCTGGAAAAGACTATTAAAGTACTATGCACTGTCACAAAACAAACAAACTAACAAAAAATCTTTTCTAGAAGAAATACAGCCAGAATGCTTCTAAGATGTAAGGATGGTGAGATTTCATCTTATGTACTTTGTACATGTTGCCAGGAGAGACCAGTCCCTGGAAATAGACATCATGCTTGAAAAGGGGACAATGGAGACGAGGAAGACCCTAGACAACTTGGATTGACACAATGGCAGCAACAGTGGGCTCAACAACAGTTGTGAGGCTGGCAGCGTACCAAGGCGTGTTCAGTTCTGTCATACGTAGGATTACTGAGTCAGAAGTGACGTGGTGGAAACTAACAACAGCACTATATCCTTGTTGCAATATTGAAGGCTTCCATGGGCAAAATATTGAATAATGCAGGAAGCATCAAAATCAGATGGATTAAATATATAGTCACTGTATCAAAGACAATTGGTTAACATGCAACCATTTCAAGAAGTAGCAATTATAAATATGAATGGCATTGAAGGAAGAAATCCAAGCAGCAATTAAGGTATTTGGGGAAACAAGGCTCTAGGAATTGATGGAACACCAGTTGAAATATTTTAACAAGCTGATAAAGCACAGGAAGTGCTCCATGGTCTATGCCAAGAGATTTGGAAAACAATTAACTAGTCAATTTCCTGGAAAAGACTCATGTTTATCACTGTTCCAAAGAAAGGTGATTCAGCAGAATGTAAAAATTTCAAACAAGGTCATTACTAACACATGCAAGTAAAATTTTGCCGAAGCTGATTCAAAAACTCTGCTGCAGTCTATTAACAGAGAGCTGCCAGAATCCAAGCCAGATCTTGGAAAGGACGTGGCACAAGTGATATCATTGCTGATATCAGATGTAACCTGACTGAAACATAATCTGAGGAAGATATTTGCTTTTGTTTTATTGACTCTGCAAAGACATCCAACTGTATGGGTCATAACAAGTTAATGATAACATTGGGAAGAATAGGAATACTCTGATACTTCGTTGCATTCATGCACCGTCTACATTACTTCCCTACAGATGACAGCAATAGTCCGTCAGGGTTGGGTCTTTTCACTACACTTTTTCAGCCTGTATGCTGAGCAAATAATTTGAGAAGGTGGACTAGATGAAGGAGGACAGGGCATCAAGACTGGAGGAAGACTTAAACAACCAGTGGTATGCAAATGACACAACCGTGGTTGGTGAGAATAAGGAAGACTTGAAATACTTGCTGATGCGAAGGACATTGGGCCTCCACTCAAGTACTCCCTCA